ACCCGGAAAAGCTCACCGGAAGCACTTTTTCATCAAAACAAGATGGCGGCGCCCAGCAAACCAGCGGCCCGGTAGGACTTGTTCCACGGACCAGTACCGGTCCACGGACCGTTGGTTGGGGACCCCTGCCCTAAAAACATCCGAAAGGGAGTTTCCCTTTGGACTCTGCTGAGGTAGAGGGAGAGGAGATATCTGTGCCTAGACTTCAACCTGATTTCTGGGTGTTTCAGACCCACATCCGTGGCTTTGTAGCAACAAGGCCTCAAGCTGTTTCATTTGTTACCTAGTGGCACATGGATGCAGCACAAACTCAAAAGGGTTTGGTAAGCCACATTTGTGAAAAAAAGCCATTTAAAAGAGCTTTCCTCACTTCCTCAGAGCTGTGTATCAAAATTATCTTATTCTTCTAAGCATCAAATTTAGCTCTATCCACAGCACAGGACAGTTGGTTCCTTGTAACAAATCACATCCATCATTGCCAAATGGATGCCCTGTTTGGCTTCATTGGTGATGGCAATCCAACCAATTGTGGGATGTTGTATAAAACCAACAAATTATGGTTTAATGAGTTCATTCCATGACTTAGCACAATGTGGATCCCTTAGCTTTGGGAACAGGGTGTAGATATGTCTATTTTAAAAATCAACATTTAGCAAATTCCCCCAAATTTCCCTTAGATAATCTATCCTGCTTTCTATCGCACTCATTAATCAATAGTAAAACTATCTTCCAGAAGGCCATGATACATATTATATTTCAAACTGTACAATCAATGAAAGCTACGCAGACACATCAAAGCTTCTACTTCCAATCCTGCACCACCACTTAAATATCAAGCCCAATTTCATGCATTATATCCTGATTTGAAACTTCAAAAAAAATATTGAGTAGCCTGGGTTTGAGGTGTGATGCGGATGAATGACACCAGGAATGTCCCATCCCATGACTAAGATCTCCCAGAAATCCCATAGACTTGGGACCTCAATTCAACTTCTCAAAACACAGGAGGGATATTAGAAGAAGAGGTATTATTTCAATTTCAAAAGAATAGGCTACACTGAATCTATTTTATATTTGTTTTGTTTCAACCATTTTTTTTCTCTCCCTGTGGATATTCATGTGAGTTGCTAGTTTCCTGCAGACTTTTCTTCAAACAGCACTAAAACAAATAAATAAAGCACAGAGAAATACACAAAGTAACATTTAAAAGGTTGAAAAGAAACAGTGCCACTTGAAACCAAATCTAGATGGTGTTGAAATGCACCAGGGTTTTTGTTTCCTTTTCATTCTTTTTGTAAGAGAGCTTTGGCATAGCCAGAAATCCTACCACTTCCATCAATCACAGCCTGCACAATGCGTTTCAGGGCAATATGAAAATTATAATCCAAAAAGGCTGAAAGGCGCTAACCACCTTATGCAATATAGATGCTTTTTATAGAGTTTTGAAAATCAATGTCCAAAAAAGTAAATGTATCTCTTTCAGAAAAATCCATTTTTGATTAAACATTTCAAAGAGATGCAAAGCAGATGAAACTGAGTTAAAGGGAAAAGATCTGCACTTTACAAGAGATTTCCCCATCTTCTAAGTTCTTTCTGTGCAAGCTGAACTACAAATTCTTTCAACTTCAACCAGAATAACAAGATTGTGGAATAACACATGGCTTGAAAATTTAAGAGCTTACAAAGAGCTTCAAATAATATAAGCTAGCTAGAGCGGACTATTTTTTTTTCTCTTTAGGAAATTAAATCCAGGGGTTGACCTGCTCTTAGGATTAGCAAGATAGCTCTCTTCCAGAACAAGCAAGCAGAACGAATAAAACCATCCATAAATCACATCTGAAAGGCCATGAAGATAACAATAGGGAAACTACAAGAGCAAAGAAGATAAAAGTCGTTTTTCAGCATTCCAGAACTCATTCCTCTTAGCTAAATGAAATATCTTTTCTGCAGACTCTCTTGCTAAGATGTACACAGGAAGAGATTTGTGGTTTTGAAAGCACCAGCTTTTGCAGAAACTCAACATTTCTGTAGGAGCACTGAGATTCAATTTGGCAGAATACTTTGGAATTAGCAAGAGGTTTGAAACTATACCAGCCCCTAAATACTTCTTTCAGGAAATCTGTTAAAGAAAATATTAAAGTATCAAGTGACAAGCACATCTGAGATAAAAACAATGAGCTTCCAAGATAAAAAGCACAATTTGCCAGCTGCCTTGTCTGCAAAGTATTCTACTTTTTAATGTCATCTCTCTATAAATTGTGTTTCATTTGAACTCACAATACAACTGTGCTGAAGATGACAGAGAATGGAATCTATGCTCCCTCTTATGTACATTCAGCCTTCAGAAATCCAGGCTTAAATATTTATTTACCCATTGAATATTGCCATTCTTCCTCCCTCTCCCCCAACACATACTAAAAGGTGAGACATTCCCCTGTTGTTGTTGTTGTTGTTTTTGGTAAACCTCCTAAATGGGCAAAATGTGTGAACCTTGTTGAGTTGCAAAGCAGTGATGTCACCCACATTGAAGTGATAGAACAAGATAACACAGGATGAGATCATGCACAGAAATGTATGGCTGAATTGCAGCCGAAGCTTTTGAGGACTAAACTAGTTTAGACTTCAAGTCTGTCTGTCTGTCTGTACTTTTTAATCATTCCTGCATGAAATGATCTGTGCCTCAAAAGAAAAAGGGCATTTCCGAAGCCGAGGTCTTCTAACCCATTTCTTCATTGCGTAAATACTGTTCATAAACGTGTTGGCGTGCTGCTTTCTCCAGATTTTGCAAAGAGTACTGGCAAAGTATACACTTTCTCTACTTCTTCAAAGTATACATATGCTCTTTCACAATCCTTCTGTAATTTAGCGCCTCTTGATCATTTGGCAGCTGATGAGGATGGCGGGGGGGGGGAGATTTCAAAGCCCACCCCCCAAACAGAAGAAGGCACAAATAAATTTGCACGGGTTGCTGATCAGCTGCTTTCTTTCCCTCTTCCAAGCCCAGGGCTGGCAGCGGCTCGGCTAAGGTTCGCTTGTTCTCTCTCAGGCTTGCCTGAGCAAGCAGAAAGGCATCGCTAGCCAAGTGGAGGGAGGCTGATGTGCAGGGGAGGTGCAAAGGGAGGCGACGTCATCCCGAAGGCAGGACTGCAGCATCTCCGGACACTGCCTGTGAGCAAGTGAGACGGCAGCCAACCACAGCCTGCGTCCAACCCAAGATGGCCTTTGAACTCTCCACCAACTTCCTGCTGAAGGATTTCCCCCCCCTTCTTTTTTTTTTTCAAACCAAAAAAAAAAAAAAGAGTACACAGTGCAATGCAGTATGTGTCTGTCAGCCTCTGCGGCACAAAAGAACAGCCATTTTGTGACAATCCAGCCCTGCAGTGAAAATGCCTAATGCTTTTTTTTCTTTTCCTTCTCCTCCATTCTCCTTCTCCACTGCCCGAACAGCTGGCATCGGGCAGAATGTCAGCAATCCTCAACTCTCTAAACATCACCCTCTCCTCCTCCTCCTCTCCCTGCCTTGGTCTTCGCCTCTCCTACTTTAAATAATCCTCCTTTGTGCGAAGGTTGCTTCATAAAATGGCTGCCACTAGCTGAGCACTTAGTGGGAGCCAGGGCTGCATGAATGTGAGAGTGCTTGCAAGACTACTCCAAGGACCTCAACTGGGAGAGGAGTATGCATTTAGCAGCCAGGGTTTGACCCTGCATTGTCTCAAGGCATTCCACAATGGGTGGAGGAGCAGAGAAAAACAGAAGACCTTATCCTTGCTATAACCTGAAGGGAAGAGTCTTTAACATCTTGGCTCAGTCCAAGGCATCTGACCCAACACTGGTTTGATGGCATAGGCCATTCTAACTGCAAATCCGCACTGAATTCAGACTTGGGAGCCGGGGGAAAAATATGTTTTGGGGCGAGAATGAGAATGCAGTCCTGGGTACTTGGGTACAATTTCTAGCTCAAACTTTTACAGAAATAAGGAAAGGCCACTACTTGCAATATTCTGAGGTTTATATATTTATAGCAGAAGCTCCTTATTTACAGAACCCCTTTTCTATGCCAATACATATGGGCATTCTTGTCCTTGCTTTTTGGAGCAGGTGAACATCTTCATTTAAAAAAGAACTTTGATTAACACACCAAGACTCATCAAGTTTACAAGCCTAGACCATTGGGGTACGCCCCTTGCTTAGGCTGCACAAATAAAATTTTAATTTAGGGTTGCCTTTCTGCTCTTCAAAGTTACCATGATTCCATTGTGCATTTGACACTGTAAACCCTTCAGAAAAAGCACTGCTAGAAAGTGATGTAGGAATGCAATCAATTAATGGTACAAATGTGTTTGTGTGACTTTAATGAAACATCCTAAAAGCAGCTCCTTTTGAGTGCAGGCTTTGCATCATTTTTTTTAAGGACTTGGTACATTCCATCTTGAGCATGAATTCTGTTTTAGAAGAAAAGCAATGACATCTTTTAAAAACTCAACATTCTTCATGGACTATCTCAGATGTTTCGCTTGCAACATCTAAAGTACTTTTCTGCCATATTTAAACTTAAGTGAAACAGCTTGGTCATGCTCAGTTATTTAAAACAATCTTCCAGGATTAGAAAAAGAGTTAATTTTGACCACTTGTAACGTACCAGGTTGTAGATGAACATGGATGTGAAGCTCATCTCAGCAAGCTATAATGTAAAAACTTTTCCATTAGTGCTTGAATTTCCATTAGTGTTTGAATACTAAGGGGTATTCCAGACACCATTAGCCAGATTTATCCTTTGAAGCTGTGAAGTGGGGGGGTTTAATGCAACTTTTACTTCAATAAAGAATTACCTGATCTATTCACAGGAAGAATGGGTTCTTTGTAGAATGGATGTTTGCATTTATAAGCAAGTGGGAGGCACTTAAAATGGTGGTTTTTGACATTGAGGGGCAAAGAAAAGTTTTTTTCTAAAATTTACATTTGTTACACCCATCTTTTAAGTATATCTGGCTCCCACCCAACTTCACACCCATCTCAAACGAATGATGTCACAAATGGATTAGGTGCTGTGCTGTTCTGCCCCCAGTCTTATAGACAGGAAGTTTCAAATGAACTTCCAGGATGTCTTGCTAAAACAATTTCTGCACAAACACATCTTTAACTCCACCCCCCCCTCAAAAAAGTTCATTTTACACAGTATGAAGAGTAGTTGCAATTCAGAAAATAAGCTTTATATAAACTTTCAAACAAGGCTGAGTTATGCTTTCACAGTTCATGTGAACTGCTATTAATATGAGTGTCTTATTTTAATTCAGTTGGGTGTTAACATTTTGCTTGATGTAGTACTCCTTTATTACCAAGAAAGCAAAACTTCAAGTGTGGATGCTATGCAAATAATATACCCAAGAGAATAGAGGAGGAAAGGTAAAAGGGCTGGTTAATCTAATCTCTTTTCATTCAACTCACTCCTGTTGTTTGCAATAGAGAGCTGTTCTCATCAGTGTTGAATCTCCTCTTTGAATTTGTAAAAAAAAATGAATTATGTTCTTTTAATGTGGATATTGGCATGCTAATTTCAAAACCAACTTTTTAACAATGTCAGCAATTTGACTATTAACCACTGTCTTTTGGAGTTGAATTTCAAAGATCTGAAAATTATGCAATAAAAAAAAAACCCAAGTTCCTTTTTGTGTTTTTCTGAGAATCAAAGCAGCTTCTCCAGCATCCAAAAATCATGGGTCAATCCATATGATTTTAAAATGTGCTCTCTTCCATTGTACTTGTTACGTCAAAGGATTTCCTTACAAAAGGCATTATTTCAAATGGTAATGTATATAATACATTGAGAAACAGCCCTCATGAAGTATGTGTATTTTAGAATTATAAAAATATTCAAAACCTGAAAAGGGATACAAATAACAAGCCAAAAATAGATCAATAAACACATTGCAAAAATATTAGAATCCTCATAAAGTAACTATTAGTTTCCATCAAAGTATGGTCAATATAACATAAAAAAAACATAAATGTCCTTCTGCTTCCCTTATAAATATAAGCATACATATATTCAGCATCAAAATACACATTTAAATAGACATGCACAGAACTTAAGATCCAAGAAATTATATCTTCAGATAATATCTTTTTGTAAAATATAAGCAAACCCCATCAATGAGAAAGCTTGGAAACACAGTATCAAAATATCCTAAAATGCTGAAATAGTATCAAAGTTCCTTGCCCAGAACTGAATATACAAGCAAGGAGGATCAAACAAATACATGTATTCTTTTTTTATTTTAAAATAAACATTTTTTCATTCATAAAACTTTCTGTAGTTTCTGATTTACAAATACCACCAGGCTTCTGTCAGGCCTTCAACTTGAAGTTTAAACTCCACAAATTCCTCAAAGAAAAAAATCCCTTGTATATAAAATGGTGCAATGCAGCAGTGGGAACAAGGTCATTTTTCACAGCACAAAACCCCTCAAAAAGCAAAATTTAGCAGCTTAAACTGCATAATATACAGGGTTCCATCTGTGTAAAGGTGCTTTACTTTTTAAGCAGAGCTTGGGGCCTTTTCAGTCACACCACAAGTTTCAGAAATTATCCAAAAAAAAAAAAAAAAAACAGGGTGTGGCATTTTAGCAGTCTCAAGGTCATTTCATAAGAAAAGAATCAAAAGCCCTGAAATATATTTCTTTCTATTATCAATGATGGTAAGTCAAAGCTGTCAAAAGGTTAACAGTTGCTCAGAATAATTAAAAAAAAATAAAAGTTGAGAGATCATACCTCGATGCATGGCTGTGCACTGAACCCTCCTCTCCTTGGCTTTTGTCCGTATTTCTCAACATCTTTCAATTCTTAAAATATTAAGGGAAAGGTAGAAGGATGGCTGGATTTGGGCTGAAGTCCTGTGCCCAGGTATTTACTGTCAAAAGTTGAAAGAAAGGTAAGCTCCCACTTTGCTTTGAGGTTTCCACAGGAAGAACAAAAAAGTCCCGACGCTGCGAAGCTTTCTTAGAACAATAATACAGAAGGGGGACATCGGCACGGTAAAAACAATAAAAATATTTATCTTTTTTTAAAAAAACGCGAAGGAAACACAGCCCTGGGGAGCATCCTACAAAACTTTCCCGAAGTAACCCTGGAAGCAAGTATTCTCGGTATTTTATTGCGTCATTCCAGGATCGTTGAAAATCGGTCGAAAGGGGGAAAAAAGCCTTAAGTATTGAAAAAGGGGCAAAATCCCCCCTTAAAAATGATAATCATCGCCCACCTACCTGAGCCAGGCTCCAACGCCAGCCCCAACCCGGTTTCTAGTCGTGGGAAAACATTCGCTTCCGAAGCGTTCCAAACGCAACGCAGGAAAGAAAAAAAAAACAAAATCCGCCTTCTTTTAAAAAATAACACATTCGAAATTAATCCACACGATCCCGCAATTGCTTAGTTGCCATCGGCAATCATTAAAGCCGTAAAGGAATATTTAAAAAAAAAGGAGAGAAAAAAAAAGATCCGGAGGAAAAAGCTCATTAGGAGAGCGCACAAAAATGGAGGTACGCCATGGCTTCCAAGCTGGGAAAAACAACGACCTGGGCTGTTTCTTTCTAACCAGGCGAAGGGAGAGGGGGAAAAAAAGTCCCCCCAAAGCTCCTTTTCTGCCCGAAAAACGCACGATCCCCCTTGCACTGGCCTCCACAAGAGACCAGGGGCCGCAGGAGCCCCTTGAGGACGCCCAAAAGTTACACAAAGTTGCGCAAAAGTGGCGGAGGAGAGAGGGGGGAAAAAGGCAGGAGGCTCAGCGCGCTCTCCAAGGCACAGCCGCCATCTAGAGCTTTCTTCCCAGCTCTGAGCTCTGCCTTTGATTGACACTCTCTACATTTACCCCACAACTCAGGTGATGTACCATAGACCCACCCCTTCATTTCCACCAAAAAAAAAAAAAAAAGGGAGCCTCCATCTAAAGGGAGCTTACTCCCCATCACTACTATCTCCAGCCAACTCCCATCTGTGGAGGGGGCAACTTAACTCCATCTGGTTCAGACACCCTTTCTAAGCCAAAAGAGAAATTATTGGTTGCTTTTGTTGGAAAAAGGGCTGGCTTACATTTATGTCCTTGGATTAAAATGACTTCCTCCCTGGACAGGAAGTTGTGGCACAAAGGGCCATTTTGGAGGAAGGAAAGTGGGACTTGGGGCTCCTGGATTAGCATTGGTAGGATACATGGGTTGGCAAGCACCCCAATGGGTAATTTCAGTAGAAGTCATCTCTTCAAAGGTTCTACTTGGTTATGGCAATCTGTTGGTTCTAAGCCATTGGTTTTAGGAGAATTCCAAATAGAAGCAAAAGTGTTATGTATCAGCCCCTCAAAACTCAATGGCGCCTCCCTAGTGGTTCTATCTGGTACCAAGATAGTTAAAGAAACCCATGTCAACTGGTCTTCATAAAGACCATAAACTGATCTTGGGATGTAGCTGAAATTATAGCTGAATTTTCCCGCACAAGCGGAACCACAGCACCAAACATCAATATTAGCAAAATCACTTGCAACTCATGAGCACAGATAAAATAAGCCTTCTGTCTTAACCATTTCCATACTTGAAGTTTTAGGGTTTTATCATGACCCCTAATATCTAGACAAAGGTCTTGATCTAGAGCCAGAGATAATCAAAATGAATCACAAATTCTACAACTTATAGTAGCCATCATTTGTCATTTCTCCATACTATTTTGGTCCAAAAAAGGTCCAAATCACTCTAAGTGAACAATCTGATAACAAAGTGCTTAACAAAGTTGCCCAATTACAGATATTTGAGAAGTGGTCAATTAATACCATTATTAATACTAGTTTTTAAAACAAAATTAAATATACAAGACATTCCATTAGTCTAGAATTAAGCCACCAATGAAGCAACCAGACACATCTAAAGATGGCATAAATGGCAAACTATCCACATTTACATCAAAAGCATGATTACTCATCAATAAAGTCAACATCAAACATTAATTTTATATTTTATACATTCCCATCAATATGTCACTAAAATGAATCTTGTATGCAGCAATTGGAATGGAAAGTTTAAAAGATTTTAGTAAATGTAGTAAAAATTATTTTTTATGGAGAACATAAGACAACTGAATTAAATATTTTGGCTAAGTTCTTTATCCAACTCTTAATGAACTGGAGCATCAATGTAGCAACACCATGAAAGCTTTGGACATTGTATCAACAGTAAACCAAGTAGTATTGTTATGTATGATCAAACCCACATACAACAAGAAGGAAATTTAAGTATACAAGTATTCAGAACAGCAGGTGTCAGTTTTTAGGTACATGAATATTAGAGCCTTAGAAAGGTCCAGACCACAATGCCCATCCATAGATCCACAGAAAACACATCATTAGATTTGTACTGTTCTAAGAATTGCACCAATTCATAGGTGTGAATTATGCTCATCTTCATTTAACCAATATTGAGAGAACATGTAACTGACATTTTACAAACAGTAATAACAATCATAATACAGAACATAAAAACTCTCTTAAGTTTATAATCTTACTGAAAGGACAAACTAAGGAATCGTTCAAAGTTTTGAAACAGTTGATGAAAGTATTGAGCTCATTCAATAATCAAACAGTTCTCATTGATACCAAAAACAAATCATATGCTTCAGCCCAAAAGATGACAAACAAGAATAAATATGGAAAAAACACTTTTATTTAAATAGCAATGCACTTGTGCCAATTAAATAGGGGAGGGACATTTTTATACATTCCTGTTTGCAAAATTTGATCAGCCCCTTCCAGCCCTTCATCCCCAACTGAATGCTAATCCCAAGAGTCTGGAAACACAGATTTAAAAAAATAAATTAAAAACAGAATATAAGATTACAATTAGCTCAAATCTTCTGTAGGTTAGACAATTGTAGTCCATGTAAAGAATCCCTTTCTTGGAAGGGCATACTCAGCAATCATGCACTAGAGTTCACTTTCTGAACCTCTCAGCAGTGGAACTGCCATCTTGATTTGGAAATCGTTGTCTCCCTTTGAGTTTCTTCCTTTCTCTGGACTCTTTATAAAAAAAATTAAAAGAAAATGCTATTGGAATGCAGGTAATTTTATCCTTAAATTTAAAATAATCAACATTTAACTGTCATATCTGAGCATAAACATTTTCAACACATTGTAAAAAGCTAAATCAATATCAAGAATAATATATTGAATAATTAGTAATATTTTAACAATATTAATGTGCAATGCATTTCCCTTTTTTAGCTTTCTGTTGAAAGTAGAATCTAGCTTAAAAAAACTCCAAAGCAAACAGGCATGACTTCTGGAATTTTAATGGGCAACATAAAAGCAAAATGGAGGCTTCAGTGTTAGAAAATATATTACTTTTGCCAGCAATGTAGCACTGGAGAAACCAATAGATACATCTTCTGCTATAGATTTAACAGGTGTCCAAAAGAAAAGCCTAAGGAAAAGTACTAAACAAGTAATTTTATCAGAAAATAGAATTGATTGTATACAAAGTTATCTCAGCTTATTTCTAATATAAGATTATTTTCTGGTTTATGTAAGCAAAAACTGAAAAAATTATTTAGACTTTTATAAAATTCCTAATAATAAATTATCTTATTCTCCCAAAGTATGCCTTGCCATGTGAAAGTTACATTATTTCAAGGTTCAATTTTATGTGGACAAGTAGCTTGGCTTGTTTAATCGAAATGACATTGTATCCTCATTATTTTCTTGTCCCTTCTTAACCAGAACTTAATTATCCCCATCTGATTTTACTCTAGGGGCAGGATCCAACAGATGAAGCAGCATCAAATATGCTTATTTGAAGGGAGGAGATTTTCTGTGGAATACCTAACAATTACTGGAGAATTTCAGCAGACCTGCCAAAATCAATGTCAAAGTCAACATTTTCTTCAAATAGTGTTTCCAAAAAAACTTCAGAAATGAAGAAATTTCTTTCTTGCATAGCACCAGCAAAACATATTGATCCCTAAAAACTATGGGATAAAACTGATACTTTTAATACCTGGAAAAGTTAGGGAAAGGTTTATTCATGATGCATTCCAAATGTAGCTATCAAATAAAAAATGGGAAGCTAGGGATGGAGAATCCATAGTGATTGGTTCAAGAACATGTCATCCCTTGATTGGTTATATCAAGAACCTCCCATTTTCTTACCACTACCCACTATTTCATTGTACTGTAAATGCAGCAGCATAGCATAAACTCAAGCCACCATTTTGTTGCAACCAAGTATCTTAAAGGCATCTTGGGTTCCTTGCATCTACCTTAATTTTTCCCCCCATCCCATGCTAATGTATAAATTATGTTTAATGGCTTCAAATAAAAAGAAATATTGACAACATAGATATGTTAAATTTAAATTCATCCAAGTCAAAACCATTTTTGCAGTGAGGAGAAATTCAGCAAAATGTGTGATGGTAACAAAAGCAGATCAAAGGGGAAGAAGAAAAATCCCTATCTAAAAAGTAAAGTTGAGAATACTTGATAGCTTCTGTTATTATTCCAAAAACTATATAGCACATGCCAATGATTTAAAGAGTCCAACCACAAAAACATCCAAGTTAAGCTGTTTTAAATATAATTATCAACAGAAATATATTACTTATATTCTATATTTGGGTACAATCCAATTGAAGGGCCACAAATGACATTGCATCCATTCTACTTCTATGAAAACACCATAAGCAAGAGATACGTTAACAAACTGGACTCTCAAATGTATCAGAGATACATTAACAAACTGGAAATCTCAGACAGAAATCACTACAAAATTTTGAATAGTTGCTAGTTTCCATTTTAAGGTGAATTTAACTAGCATTTTCCCATAACTTAGTTGTATTAATCCAAAAGGAAATGTCAAAAGTGATCATTTTCTACAAAACCAATGTATATGTTTTTACTTTAGAAACCTCAATGGTTCAACAGATTGTGTAACAAGTAACAACAGAATAAACACATCAGAACACGTCATATATATTCATTTCCATTGAACTCCCAAGTTTTTGATTGTGTAAAATATTCTTTCATAAATTATACTCTTAATGCTTAAATTTTGTAATTCCCTAGGTATGGTGATAATGCAATACTGAGTTAATTCCACGTTAATGTGTCAATATTTAAAGCTTTTGTTCAATAAATGAACAATAGTACAATGGGTGATATTATGAGTAAAAGATTCAAAATTAATCATTTAAATGGATGGGACCAAGTATTCTAAGCTGTATTTAATATACAATTTCCTAAAAATGAGATCATCTAAATCCCAATTATTTGCTGCTTAGAAAATCTGACAATTTTAAGAATTTCAGAATTTCAATTAGCCCAAAGTAGTATTTTTAGAAAACAAACTAAAGCTCAACTTTAACTATTGCTACTTTTGCAAAGTACTGAGATAAACATTCATTTAGGTTTTGCCAGTAGTTGCTGAAGAACTATGGGTGCCATAGGATGTTCTTCAGTAGGTAACAGACTGAGAAACAGGCAGCAAGCAAACAAGGTTTTCCCAAAGAGATTCTATATTACTGAAACTCTTGTGTCTGTATCCTTTGACTGGGAAAAAATGGTGCATTGTAGAGCAACTACTTTGGAACCAAAGTACCTCAAATGGGCTAACTTACAGACTGAGTCCAAAACCTGGAACCCATGGATTCCACAGAATTGAAATTTGAGAAATTTTATAAAACATTACATAAAATTATGAAAAAATATGTTATTACATAATACAAAACGTTATGAAATATTTCCTTTGATCAACTCCTGTTTTTATTGTGTGTGCTATACAGTTCAATATGGGCTACTTTCAAGGCAGATACAGCTCGGAATATTTCCCTGAATTTTTAAGAACTTTTCTGAAACATTAAAAATTCTGCCATTTTTGAAGGCATTGAGAAATGTGGTAAAGAAATATATCTGGAGTGATAACCCAATGGGGGCAGGGGTTGTTTAGTGAAAGTCAAA